TTGGTGTTGCCAACTTTAGTTGTTGTGCCTGTCATGCGTGTCCTTTTCTGCATTTTGTTGTTGTCTTATTTTGTTTATGAAACATATTTTGCGGTTGTGTTGTGTTTGGTGTTGATTTTTTAAATCTTTCTTTTGTGTAAGAAAGATTCCAAAGGAATGGTCCAATGGTTCTATGTGGTTCTGGAAAATGTTTCCAACTTACGCCCAATAGTTTTCTTTACAAACTTTTGAAAGTTTCTTCCTTTTGAATGTACTCAAGTAAATCGATGTTAAAAATTATTGAAAATAGTTGTTGATGTTCTCAGAACGTGAGCTAAATCAAATTATTGTAAGGTTGTTTTTAAATACCCAAAATCAAGTCTGAAATATAATTAATTATATGCTTAATGTTATCATGATAGATTAGATTATGTTTTAGAAGCGGCTTTAGATGACTTCTTAATTGTTGGTATAATAAATTGATTATTAAACAATAAGTCTGTTTGTATCTGGTACTGATTCGGAAGATGATTTTTTTAATTGGGTTTTAATATTTTCCATTAAAGTAGTAAGTAATAATATAATGTTTAATTAGAACTACTCTGCTTCGTTTATTTGTTATAATTGTAATGTTATTCATAAATATGATTAATTGTTAGCTCATCAACATTTTTATGATATGAGTAGGCCTGTGAGTAGGAGGTAAAGTGCTTAACTTTATTTCTATCTGGGATAACACACTTTATAAAAAAATAAAAAGATTTACATCATCTTTTTGTATGGTTTAAGAAAACTGAAGATGAAGAAAACTTAAAACATCTCCGAATTATTGCTTTGTAGCTGTTGTAATTCTCTTCTCGTATTTAGTATTATAAATACTTAATGAAATTAGAGACTATATAATAATACCTCTTTAAATATGTGTATATAAGGAGTTTTTAATGTTTTTTCGTATTTGTTTTTCTATTACTTGCTTACCAATCTAGTCAACAAGTTTCTAAATCATAGGTCTTAGTGGCTACATAGAACAATGAATTTTCGTCGTCTATTTGAATGATATTTGAAAACGCTACTTATGTTACGGAATAGGAAATGTCAACTATAATATGTTTCCCTATCCCACAAAAACGTGAAAGACTCATAAGTAGGATTTGAATGTATTGTGATCACTCATTGCCATGTGATTTCACACCTTCGATTTTAAAATATCTTTTATAATGCAGGATGAGATATATGCTTAAAGCATCTTATATATCGTATCAGGAATGAAGATATATACAAAAACGTGAGAATCGAGAGTAAACATAGAGTACATCAAAGACAGAGCGCGAAAAATTATTTAATTCTGTGTATGCTCACACAAATGCAGAACTGCCCTCCCTTAAATCGAATGCACTTCATATTCCGTCAGAAAGATATTCTGGGCTTCAAACTATACTTCTACGAAATCACTTTATCACCTGAACATAATTCAATGAAACTCTTATTGGAGTAAGTCAACCAAGTGATCACAAATACTACCAAGTAAAAGTGTTTCAAACACTAACTTGCGTTTCATCAAACAAAAAAGAAGAATAGAATGAGCATTATTTGGCCAATACATTCTAAACTCTATGTCATACCCTTTGACATTATTTCTAGAAGTGCCTTTAGAAGTTTTAGGTTCGCAAAATTATGTCCTTCGGTGTACTTCATATACAAGCGCTGTATTTCAAAGCAGTTATGCATGTTTATAGGAACACTGTCAAAACTTAATGACAGTGTTTAACTTTATATTGGGTAAGAGAGTAGGGATGTTATTCAGTGATTCTTCCACGACGCAGAACTTTGCACATACTATATTATATGATATTTACATAAAAAAATGTATACATAATTAACTTAGTTTCAGGTAAGCCCCAGAACCAGATCAGACCAGATCAAAAATTTAGTAGATTTACTCATTACGATACTTTTGAAATTTATTCAATTAGCTATTGCGGTTTTGTAAATGAATCGTCTCCAATTACTTATTGTAATTACTTTTTGAGTGATTGACTTTATTAGTTTTTCTATCAATTATACAAGCTATTTGTCGATATGAAAGTTAGATAAACATTATCTAACACTTAGTATATACTATTTCTGTAGTTGTGTCAAATTGCAAATGCTTTGTTCCAATGGAAGACAGTAAATCAGCAAATCGGATTAGAAAAAAATGTGCTTGTTTTCTGTTTTCAGTTTTCAGTTTCACAACAACTTTTTTATGTTTTTATTTGGTATAACATTGCAAGCCATTGAAATTCATTCATGTGAATTTCTGTGATATCGCATGTCAGTTACTTTTATTACAAACAAAATATATATACGAGGAGTACCACCAAACTGCGTGCTTATGTTATTGTAGTGGTTGCTGTATATTCACATCCTCATTTCCACCATAGACGAGGATAACCAAGACAAATACTCTGCTAAACTCTGCAACCATTAAAACAATTCTTCTCACTCAGATACTCGTTCGCTTCAGCGTTTGGACAGCAGCTTTTGCTGTGCAGCAGAAACTGATTTATGCTTGGTGCATGCAACAAATGTGCTGTTGGCCAGCAACATTACAAATTATTCAAGCGTTGCCAGCTTTTTCCTTTGTCTTCTCCATTAAACGAGAGAATTCAAATTTCTATTGAAATTAACGTCTATAAGCAGCTGTAAATGAAGGATACTCATTTATACTTCATTTTATTTTTGCTGTGGTTTTTTTTTTTGTGAGTAGAAAATAATAGAGCAAGGATTCATTGCATTCATTTGCAAATAGTTTTGGTTGCCAGCGCGGCTTTGGCATGTGGCAAACCAATTGTGAAGCTTTTAATTTTAATGAATATACATTAGATTGTTTTTATGCTTCATCTTTGTGCTTCCACGGATGTTAGGTTGGCAGCTGGCAGTGGGAGAGCTGCCACCTCTTATGACATCTGTCAGTAAATTTGTTTGACTGTTGAGTTGAACTTAACGGATGCACATTTTGTGAATGAAATTCATATTTTATAGAAGCATCAGTAGTTGGTCACTATGGTTTGGCATCACACATAAAAGTTTTCCTTGCGTTTAACAATCTGTGGTTATCATATCATTATTATAGTTATAGAGGAAGCACTCCTAGTAATACTTTTCGTTAATTTAGTTTATGCTTGAGGAACGTAATTAGTCGAGACAAATGTAGTGTTCTTAAATTCCTTAAAACATTGAATTATTTGATTAGCTGATTAGTTGAGAGTTCTTTAGATATACAAAAGCCGATAATTGTACATCTTTTGATTAATCCAGGATATGTTAGTTAGTATCCTTCAGTGCTATCATTTTCCTTAGGCAATGAATTGTTGTATTAATACTTTTTTCATGTTAAGTTAGTTTTTTCTGTCTTAAATTACATTTTTTTTCAATTAATGTAGTGATTCAATTGCATATGTGTTAATATTTAGCAGTTGTTTTTCACATGAAAGTCTTAAAATATTAAAGTTTTGTTGAAATTTTCATTGTTCTCTAAATAGCCACAGGTGTTCGGAGTAGTTGTTCAAATCGAAAAGTTTCTGTTAATTGAAATCATTTCAAATTCAAATTCAAATTCAAAACAAAATTAAAAAATTTGATTTGAAAATATTCGTTGCACCTTTATTAGGCTTATGTGCCTTCATCTAATGGCTTTCATCGTAGCCTGCATTGAGCATAGTGTTGGCATAGTGTGTCATATTGAAATTGGTATTCCATATGACGTGACGTGATATAGAAGAGTGAATGAATTTGAAATTTTAGTGAATTTTTTATGTGAAAGTTTTTGCATAATTAAAAATCTCAAAAATATATTGCAAAAGTTTTCCAATTAGGTCCTGCCAAGTTGAACGAAATACGCCTGAGGATATTTTTAGGTATAATTTCAAATGTTTACTTAGCGCTTTGTATTGTTACTGTTTCAACTCTTTTTTTATAAATAAATAGTTACTGAAAATAATCCTTTAAGTTTCAGTTCACTAGTAATATTCCATTTCGTATCAATTTTCTGTTAGTAGTCCATTTGGTATGAGTTAACCGATAATGGTCCATTTGGTTTCAGTTTACTAGTAGCGGTCCATTTGGTTTCAGTTTACTAGTAGTGGTCTATTTGGTATCAGTTCACCGATAGTACCAGTTCCATTTGTACCAGTTTAATAATAGTGGTTTATTTGGTATTAACTATATTTGTGAAAATATAGGTGAACTGTACAAGCATTAATATACTATGAATCAGCAGCGCAAATTTTTAGCGTAAGTTATACTTAAGGCTTGTCAATGACAATATTAACTTTGATATCTTTATATATTGTTATATATTGTCTCTCTGTAAAGAAGATTATGATTCCGAAGTATTGAAGATTGAAACTGAAATTGAGACATACTTATGTATGATATAAAACTGTTCAGCAATGTGCCTATATTTGAACCTCAGTTGGGTCAGAAGAATCAAGAACCCGTTTTTTAACGCCATAAATTTTAGGAGCAGGTATGTTAAGAACTTTGTTGTGAAACAACTCTGTTTTGGAAAATGGTACAGAATGGCATCTATTGTTACGGCCAGTTAGTTTAGGTGATGACTTGAACTTTATTTGACATTAAAACATTTTCTATAACAGTTTAGAAACAATCAACGTCTTTTAAAGATAATAAATATATTTTTATGTAAAATGAACTAATCTGTATGAAAACAATAAAAATTTTTAAAAAAAGTTAATAATGGCAATGTAGTTTTGAGATTAAGTTACTACACAAATTTGTTTAAATTCTATGTCTTATTCATTTATATTTTATAAAATTGCTATCTTATTGGAACACAATCAGCCATCGTAGGCCATCGTAGGTACTTCTTCTATTTTGTTTTTTGTTAATTTCAGTTTTATTTTTAATAATTGTGAGTCTTTTATGTTTTGTGTGAAGTCATTTTGCTTATATGTTATTCCACATTTTTATTTAAATATTTCACTCAATAGTAATTAATTTCTTTCTTTCTATTCCAGATTAACTGTTCACACTGTTAAACGATAAATCTTTAAAACTCAATTAAATAATCAAAATGCATATTTTTTAGCAGTGAAAAAAACAGTTTCTGTTGAAGTTTGTGAATATTTTAAAGGACATCGAAGGAGCATTTGGATTGAGGTTTCCGTTAAAGTTGCTCTGATTTATTGACTGTGCTCGGAAAGTATGGATGAATAGAAAAGAGTCATAAACGCTTTGCATATCCAATTCAGAAAAGAGAATAATTTCAGAATTATATTGAATAAAAACGTGCATTATAAAAGTACCCGAAACAAAAATTACTATAAATAAAATTTTAAATTGGAAAAACACGAAAATCGCATCGATCGAGTTTGAATTTATTGCTGTATTTACTTTATATTAAAATGGTTTGCAAGTGTGCACAGGTAAGTAACGGAAACTTAATATATATAATATATATTATGTATTATTAAGATTATGAAATTAAAATATTTTAAATTCTGTGTAAAAAGATGGTTTAATTACTTTAACTAAATGCTGGAATTATTGCTCAAATATTTGTTTAATGATATTCTTCTGAAAACTATTTTCTCTTACTAAGCTGATAAGAATATCTTATTTATGATACATACTTTAAGGATAATTATTTTCAAATTGTTTTACTTTAATTTTCTATGGTAAACAAAAACATATATTAAAATAAATTCATATTTACTCGCTGAGTTAACCCAGAGAAATACAAGTATGTATATGTGAACCACAAGTATGTGTGCATATTTGTATTTCAATATGAAAATACTTCAGTTATCTTGAACATTATGGAAACATTCCGAACATTTTGACAAGGATAACAATAAATCCGGCTACAATAAAGCAGCAACAATTTGAATGATTACACAATTCGTTTCTATTTAAATTTACTTTGCATGAACAATGTATCGAAATCCTCGCAAAATGGATGACATCTGCCAAATCTAACACAACAGACGCATAAGGAACATCTTCAAAAGTGTCAACATTCTAAGCAATCATCAATGTCGATAACAGACTCAGCAACAATAAACAGCAATGAGAACAGCTGTGTGTGGGAGAATGGGATGATGAGATGACGGGAAGACTGTAATGTTGCGTTTCTTGGAAGAAAAGAAATTGATTTCGCTTGCAACTACAACGTCTTCAATAACTGGCAACAATAACAGCAACAATTGCAAGGAGTAAATTTCTTTATTTTTGGTTGCGGTTTTGTTGTTGACATTGTTGACGTTGTCGCTCTTGTCGCTGTTGTCGCTGCTGTCGTTTTGGTTTCCACAATTATTTAAAGTTGTTTGCATTTATTTTGTGTGCCTTGCTTTTGAATATTGCAACTCAAGTATTTGCGCGTTTAAATCCGAAGATTGTAAAACTTCTTTATAATTTCTGAGTTCCTTTTAAAGCATCAAGTTTTCTTATATGAAAACCTAATATGAATATATTAACAAAATCATATTGTTAAATTCGATACGAATGTTTTATTATATGCTTTTAAATAATACTCTTCATTATTTCATTTCAATATATTTTAACCATTTTTGTATTCATTTTTAATCTTCTTATAATTCTTTATTTTGTTTGGCTTTATGCTTATATACATATATCTAGATAATGTTGACCATTGTTCCATTTTAATATGTTTAAGTAATTTAAGTATACATTTTTCACCTTTTTTTTTCACCTATTTTATTTTGTGTAATTAAATTCTCTTGCATATACACTCACAAATAGTTCACTAAAATTAAATTCTTACTTAAGAAAAATGTGATTCCCTTTCACCCTTTCACCCATTCACCCATTTTCCTTTCCCAAAACCACAATACAAATGGCAGACGATTATTCATTAGTAAGCTTTCCTCTTTCAATGCCTCCAGAGCACAAAAATCAACAATTCTGCATTTTAATTGCGTTTGTCTACTTTAGTCTGATTTTTTTTGACTTCAAAATAGAAGACGAAGACGTTTTAGCCATAAACCAACTTTTGGGGCTTACCCTTAAGTGGTTAGTGTTTTGTTATCGCTTTGACTTTAATTATATTCTTCAGGTACTTTAATTTAATTGATCGAATTGAAATTTACATAGGCGCATCAGCAAATCAGCAAATCTGCAAATCTGCAGCTCTCCGAACATAGTACAGTAGTCATTGCGGTCACTGCGGCGTATGAGTGTTGCGAGTGCACATTTCAGGCTGCGAAGGTGGCAAGAGTTTGAAATAATTATGTTGAAGTAAATTCATTTCAGATAAATACAGATTAAAACATATTACGCAAATAACTTACATAATTCTAGCTTAATATCAATTAGGGTTTTAGTTGAGTTGTTGTATTTGTTGAAACTAATTAATTAAGCTTGTGATAGTAAGTACTGTTGTAACATAGCTGATGCCTTTTGTAGATACTTCAGTGCAAAGTTAGCTCAAGTGTTTAATTTTGTTTGTGAATATTTAAGTAATGAGTTATTGATTGCATCTATGTACAGCTTGTATTCATCCCGAATAAGTGAAATAATTCAGGGATTATTTCAATAATTAGGTAACAAACATCCTTTTCAATGAATACCAAGACTTCTTTGAATTTTTTCTGAAATAAATTAAATGCAAATTATAAAAATAATATATATGATTTAAATTTGCATTATTTAAAAATAATAACAAAATTATTAAGACACAAAAAGGTTTTATAATTAAAGAACTTCAAAGATTGTAGTAACGACAAGTAGTAACTAGTATCAAAGACATTTATATATAGGCAATTTTCGATGATTTGTTGGCATATAGGTGGCATTAGCTCGATCATAAATCACGTGATATTCGTTTTCATTCCAAATATTTCTTGATCTTGATAGTTAATTCACGTCCGGAAAGGTTTTTCACAATGCTAAAACAAGATGAGCTGTATAGTATGTAGAACCTTTCAATTAAAATAGCATATCTTTCACATATATATTTTCATATATAGTAAAAAATAGAACAAAAATAGTAAAAAACATTGTAAATCATGTAGCTGTAGGGTTCATAATTGACAATTTGTATTACATCCTCTTAATTTCCAATAAACTATGGGTGTATTACAGCTCCAAACCAAATGTCACACCATCCAGAGAATTTTTGTAGATAACATATAATGAGCTTGCGACAGTTACTTGTGCATTCTAACTGCAACAAATTGGATTATTTCGTTTTTATAGGTAAACTGATCTTTTGTTCAGTCTGTCAATAAACTACTTTCCTGAAAATCTCTTTTTTCTGTTAGCCAAAGCAGTCACAGAAAAGTGTGTGAATGTCTCTTTTTCTTTTAAGTTTTTACAATTTCTACAATAAATATTGAGTGGAAAGTGCGAACATAAAGACCAGTGATCTCGAAGACCTAAAAAAACTGCCATTAGCTGCCATTATTCTGGAGTTTGGGACTTGGTCCATATTTATAAATTTTCTTGACTTGGTAGAACTATATGAATGCTACAATGTTTTATACGTTGTGATGTTTTAGTGTAATTCATTATTAAAATTGAAATTGTAGCTTTAATAATCAGTAGAGGACTGTAATTTATGTCTACGTCTGTAGAAAATATTTACGAGTGTACCTTCACCTCAGTTCATTTGTCCAACCATCCATGAAAATTGAGATATATTTAGGTGAGAGTAATATGTTGCCATGAAGTAGCTTAGAAATAGGGTATCGAAGATTTACCAAAGTCAAAAGTAACTTCTAGTAATTGGGATTTTATTGATATATTCATTAAATTCAAGTCATATTAATAATGAATTCATTATTTTTAATCTTAACTGATTTAAATTGTTTTTCAGTTGTTTTTCAGTTAATGACATTGTTATTTTAAATTAAAATGAATTAATTTCTAAATTGAATAAAATTAAATAATTGATATTCTATAATAAATTGTTTGTTTATTTCAAATTATTGAAACTTGAAAGTATCTTATACAACAGTAAGAATTAAGTACAGACAAAGTAAGGTGAAGTGAAGGTGAAGCCCTTAAATTAAATGATTTTACATACTCGTAACAATAAAATCGTTTGTGAGCACTTGAAAGGGCTTTGGATAACCTTTGACAAGAGTGCATTCTTAAAGGTCTCTTAAAATTGTGGTCATTGTGGTTTGGCATACTTTTGGATGCTATTGAATTATCATTAAATCACTTTAAGCAAAATAAAAGATACTCGTATGCATATTCTGTTTAGTAACCGCACATGAAGTCTAACATGAAATGTTTATATATGAACCAAACACAAATGTATTGAATTAAATTATTAAATAATCTTTTGGCACAAAATTTCTATTATTTCAATTTTGTACTTTGGGCCATTAGAGTTACAAGCAACAAGATATATTTCAATTGCATATTAAATACGCTTTGAAATACTTGTACTTTGGCATACATTTCATTCGTCAAGATAAATGAAAATATTTAAATAATTTTCCAAAGATTTGCAAATTCTTTACTGTTTGCTTAAGTCTACAAGCAATTATTAACCATTTCTGAGGATTTGTGTCTTCACTTTTGAATTATTTCGAAACTAAATACAGCAATTCGAACGATTATTTAATTTATATGAAGTTTAGATACATTTGGTAGTGTGTACAACTACAATATTTGGGACTCAAGATACTGGTGGAGAGACGCCATATAAATTGCATTAGACACAAACCGCATTTACCAAAATAAATAATTAAATAAAGTGAAATGTAATAAAAGCAATAACAGCTCAAATACACTTTTGTGTTTTAATTTAGTAAAACATTTGCACACATACGCAGATAATTATGTATCTCATCAAGTGTACGGCAAGTGTATCTGTAGGAATGCGTGCGATTCTGTATATACTCGTAACCTGATTAAATGAAGTACTCGTTTGTTTTGAGGAATCAACACTACAGGCGAATGTTTTCCACTTAAATAAGTTTCAGAACGAAACAGAAGCCATGTTTCTGTATGGCAGTGGAGTTGGAATTGTGTGCGGTTTGGCCAATGAATAGATCTTCTACAGCTTGAAGTAGACGTCTGAGTATGATAGATACATGTTTAGTTCATGCGAGTTTAGGTGCCCAACATCTATTGTTCAATTTTTGTGATTTTGATTAAAACTTCTGTGATGGCAAACAAATTTGTTATTTGTTGTGTGTGCTACCACATTTGAAAGCATCTCATCCTACCTAATAATTTGAATGAAACGGATATGTAAGTCGCTTTCGCTGCTTAAGCTATTCTAGTTGACAAATTATTTGCCGGCAGCGCTAAAGTGAAGCACATGTGTACTTTAAGTAGATACAAGTGTTGGATTTCGTAGACAAAGTTACTGCATTATGTTAATTGTAAATTGTATCTCTTTTAATTGCTTAGGATCAGTTAAAGGTTTATGAACTGACATAGATTTGAA